CGAAACCAAAAATGAGATTCAGTACGTGTTGGACCTGAGAGCAAAACTCCACACTTTGGGGAGGTTGTCACGGGAGAATTTGCTCCAGGCTCAGCAGCGTCAGCAACGCCTGTATGACAGAGGGGCTAGGCTCAGGCAATTTTCACCGGGAGATAAAGTGCTTGTGTTACTCCCTACTTCCAGCTCGAAGTTGCTCGCCAAGTGGCAAGGACCCTTTGTGGTCACACGGCGAGTCGGGGACGTGGACTATGAGGTCGCTCGGTCGGACAGGGGAGGAGCCACGCAGATTTATCACCTCAATCTCCTCAAACTGTGGCGAGAGGTTGAAACCGCTTCTCTGGTGAGCTTGGTGAAGGAGAGAGATGAGTTGGGGCCTGAGGTGCCAAATTCTATCATTCCCACCTCCCTCCCTTGTGATGACCATCTCACACAGGCCCAGAGAGCGGATGTTGTCGCGTTGCAACAGCGTTTTGCGGACGTGTTCTCCCCCCTGCCCGGCCGGACGTCCCTCATCGAGCACCATTTCGTGACGCAGCCCGGCGTGACGGTGCGTTCACGGCCCTACAGGCTCCCAGAGCATAAGCGAAAAATCGTGCAGAGGGAATTGGCGGAAATGCTGAGGATGGGAGTAATAGAAGAGTCGCACAGCGCCTGGTGTAGCCCCATCGTTCTGGTGGCGAAGAAGGATGGGTCTATACGGTTCTGTGTCGACTATCGCAGGGTGAACGAAGTGTCACGCTTTGATGCCTACCCCATGCCTCGGGTCGACGAGCTCCTGGACCGGTTAGGCACGGCCCGCTTTTTCACGACACTGGACTTAACCAAGGGCTATTGGCAGATTCCCTTGTCTGCCGAGGCCAGGGAGAAAACGGCCTTCTCCACTCCGTACGGTTTGTACCAGTTCGTGACGCTTCCGTTTGGCCTGTTCGGGGCCCCGGCCACTTTCCAGCGTCTCATGGACCGGGTACTGCGTCCGCACGCAGCGTATGCTGCCGCCTACCTGGATGACGTGATCATCCACAGCGACACCTGGGCGGAGCATGTGCTGCGGGTGGCCGCGGTCCTGGAGTCCCTGAGGGGGGCGGGGCTCACGGCCAATCCGAAGAAGTGCGCGGTTGGACGGAGGGAGGTGCAGTATCTGGGGTACCACCTGGGGGGCGGGCAGGTGCGTCCACAGGTGGAGAAGACGGCGGCTATCGCATCCTGCCCGCGCCCCAGGACGAAAAAGGAGGTGAGACGGTTCTTGGGGTTGGCGGGTTACTATCGTCGCTTTGTGCCGGGGTTTGCGCAGCTAACCAGCCCCCTGACCGATCTCACTCGAAAGGGTGCCCCGGATCTGGTCCAGTGGACGGGGCCGTGCCAGGCGGCGTTTGTGCAGGTGAAAAAGGCTCTCTATACATCAGCCGGAAGCTGGCAGAGCGCGAGCGCCGGTACAGCACCGTGGAGAAGGAGTGCCTGGCCATCCGGTGGGCGGTCGGCTCCCTGCGCTATTACCTCCTGGGACGCTCATTCACCCTCTGTTCGGACCACGCCCCGCTGCAGTGGCTCCACCGCATGAAGGATGCCAACGCCCGGATCACCCGGTGGTATCTGGCGTTGCAGCCCTTTAAGTTCAAGGTGATCCATAGGCCGGGGGCGCAGATGGCAGTGGCCGATTTCCTCTCTCGCTCGCGGGGGGGAGTTGCTCGGCCGGACGGCTCCCCGGCCTCGAACGGGCGGTGGGGGTGTGTGGCGGAGGCGTGGCCCCGGGCGCAGCTGCAGGGGAGGAGTGGAGCGGAAGGCTCAACAGGGCGGCGCTGCGAGGCCGGTAAGAACAGCTGATGTTGTTTATGGACTGATGATGGTCTCCCTCCGCTGTGTTTATAGTGAGACGAGGAGGAGCGGCCAGAGAGAGATCAGCTGGGCTCGTGAGCTGTCAGACTGTGAGACTGAGTCAGCTGTCATAACACAAAAGACTGAATAAATGTGGAAGTTGGCAGTACATACCTGTGTGTGCGTGTGTTTGTGCCTGGCGTATTCCACATGACATTACCAATAAGTTTGATGTGTCACATGGCCCTCTTCCTATTGAAAAAACAAAAGTTGTATCCAAGATGGCCGACTTCTAAATGGCCACCATGGTCACCACCCATCTTGAGGAGTTTGCCCCCTCACATATACTAATGTGCCACAAACAGGACTTTAATATCACCAACCATTCCCATGTTATTACGGTGTATCCATATAAATGGCCCACCCTGTATATTGTATTTGTGCCCTCTTTCTTTCCTTTCATAGTTGTGCCTGTTGAGCTGTTTTGGAAGCAGCTTGATCATATGGTATGGGGAAAGACTCATCAAGCCAATCCAGCTTCTGGGAGATGCGCGAAGGAAGCATAGAGTGAAATCTCATCAAATGACCTTAAAAAGGTCTCCCAGGCTGTAATCACTGCAAAACGCTTCTTTTTTTTTAAAATGACAGCAAAATTTGGTGAACACATTCATTATTTGGATTTAAATCATTACCAACTACTACTAACTCTGAGTCAGCATGCCCAGTTCATTACATTTCCTATTCATCGTAATTTCATATGTTTTCACGGAAAACAATGGAATGTAGAAATTATACCAAATATCTGATTGGTAGTGTTTATTTGTAGAACTTAGGACTTTTATTGTTATTGTACAGTTGCTTGCACAGTGAAATTAGGTAGCAAGACAAAGGTTGTTGCATATAAATCACAACACTGCAACATAAAAATTTTGAGTGCAACATTGTATTCTGTTAAAATTACAGACATTGCCTAATGTCTTATATTCTTAATGAAGTATTGTAAAATACAATATTGTAAAATAAAACATTAAAAAAAAATTCTAAATATGTGCCAAATCTTTAGGTCCTAAAGAAGATTACTCAAAGTCAATGCAGATGTGCCGATAATTGCAGGTCTTAGTATATGTATTTTTTTTTTTTATCAGTGTTTTGCTTCATAGCCAGCTCAGGTCAGCAGTCAAGGTTAGGTCACTTGACCCATATGTCACAGATTCACAAATTCAGCACAATTGACATTTCTTTTCTGTTACTTCAAAAGTACTGAAAACACAACACTAAGCCAAAGAATGGTTGATATGTTCAAAGTGTACCCTCCGGTTGATGTTGTTTGAACTGCAGTTGTAGTTGCAGGGGTAGGTGTCGTAGGAGGAGGTGTGGTAAGCACTCTAGCCTGTCCCACACATGTCCCCACATTTCCTACACTATCTACAGCAGTCAGCTCCACAATCGGTGAGCAGCAGGAGGCAGTGTAAGTAACCAGGGTAATATTCTCACCCCCTGCTTCAACCACTGTGCTCATATTCAGAGTACCATTCCCTTGGCGAATGGTTACACTCTCAATGCCAGTTCCATTGATGCCATCAGTGAAATTGGCAATGAACTCCCACTGGGAGGAAGCACAAAGCAATGAAGTGGAGGCACAGGTTGATGTGTTGACTACCTGGCAAACTGGACGGTTAACATCTGTCACCTGGAGACAGAGAAATAAACATGATGAGGGAAACAGGTTGGGAATGTGTGATACCAGTTATTAAAGATAAAAAGAAAAGAACATAATCAAATCTTTGCATGTCAGTTCTCGTAAAGTTTCTGTCTTCGTGGTAATTCTTCTTACATTCTTGTCTTATTTTAGCAGGCTTTTGCATTTAGTTTTACTTTATCTTTATCTCGTTCTTGATTGTTTACCCGCCTGTTCCACATTCACCTAATTATCCTTTGTGCATTAACATCCTCAGTTCTCCCTTTGTCATTTTTGTGATTTGTTTCTCATCTGTATTTTGTTATACATAAAGGTGTTTTAGTTTGTTCAGCCAGTCTAGTGAGTACATTTGTGTCCTTGTCTAGCAAACCATGACAAACAATTTAACATCAACAATTCACAAGAGAAGTATGGCACATAAAGCCTTACTTTAACTGCAAACAACAATATCAAATCGAATCGCATGTCTATCTTTAATTTGAAATAAAAATGACAAAAATCTGTATTTCTTTTTGATACATTATGTACGTGACCATTAATTATTACAGAATTAAGAATAATGTTGAAAAATATTCTAACCATTATCACTCACCTTAGCACTCACAGAAAACCTGAGAACTACATAGTTGATGTCGGTGGCAGCGGCGTTTTCTGCCTCAATGGTGAGGGTCACGTCTGTTCCTGATGCAGTACTGGATGGAGCCGTTAGGGTCACGGTGCCATTGGCTTTACCACCATTGCCTGCTACAGTAGTAACACTGCTGGGTGAAGTGGAAGTGTAACTGCGGTCATTGCTGACTCGCACTGTAAATGTCTCAGTTGCAGAGTCAGTTATGACTCCATCAGCAGTTGCGGCGACTGAGAAGGGGATGGAGATAGTGGTGCCCGGCTCAATGTTGGTATTATTGGCTTCAGCCTGGACAAGAAGAGAGAGAGAGAGGAGCAGGAGAATGAAAATATTTTTTTTTAACATTGTTGACAACAATATGTTGATGCATAATGACATGACTTCACACTGAAAGAATCACAGTAGGAATGTCTGTTGTTTATGATTGTAGACTTATTTACTAGGGGTGCAACGATACACAAAATTCACGGTTCGGTTCGAT